TCGAACCCGCAGGCTTAGGCAATCCACTCACCTCAGCCTCCCAAAGGCACGGGATTACAGAAGTTTAGATTATTTAAGGTCCCTTCGAACTCTGACATTCTGTTAACTATAAGGAGAGTATGCTTTGGCATCACATAAAGGGAAAAGACAGGAGGGTCATCACTCATCAGTGAAAATCCCCACCTATCAGAGACATGTACCTTTCTTACATTGAGATCAAGGAATGTTTGATTTTTTTTCCTTCCAAGCATTCTAAAAGAACCGAACACATTAATAATGTTTGCTTCTGTGTTGCAGAAAGGGAGGTGACAAACTTAGGTAATCCCAGAACTCTAGCATGGATCGTTAGCTTCAGTACTCTGTTGGTGGTTTAGAGAGCTCATTTGCAGTGTTGCATATACTCTGAAACTACAGGCTACGTGAATCTCAGAAAGTGCTGGGAAAGGGATTCTTGACTTTTTAACCTACAAAATGAGGAAGGAAAGATATTATTACTGAGAAACATAGAGACCTTTCCTTAGTACTATGAGAGAATCATTCAACACGGATGGAACCTGATTCTAACCGTCCACGTGTACTTAATTAAAGGAATCCTGATCCTGTATAAATCTTAGAAAACAGATGTATATTTTAATTATGTCTGTTGGGTATAATTAACAGGAAAATTACATGAAAACAAAGCTAAACAACATACCAATACTTTTGGCATTTTTTCTATCATTTTTTTACCAATTTTTTTTTGAGTTGGTGTCTCCCTCTGTCATCCAGGGTGGAGTACACTGGCACACTCACGGCCACTCCAGCGTTAACCTGCTGGGCTCCAGCGATCCTTCTGCCTCAGCGTTCCAAGTAGCCAGAACTACAGGTATGCACTACCAGGCCCGGCTGATTTTTTTATTTATTGTAGAGACGAGGTCTCACCAAGTTGCCCGGGCTGGTCTCGATTCCACGGGCTCAGGCAATCTGCTCACTTCGATCTCCCAAAGTGCTGGGATTACAAGCTGAGCCATGAGCCTGGCCAATTTATTTCATTTTATTTTTTAGTTGGGTCTCATTCTGTCACCCAGAGTGCAGTGGCATGATTACTGCTCATTGCAGCCGCAAACTCCTGGGCTCAGGCAATCCTTCTGCTACTGCACCCAGCCCTAAGGTATTCTTAATATTTACTTTAAAGAGCCTATTAAGTTATTCTTGCTCAGGCTGAGATGCTCTTGTCATTTTCATAAGTTAGGAGAAGGATGTTAAGCCAACCATGTTCATTAACTCCTGCATTTAGCCAACTAAGAGAAACTTGAGTCTAAAAATGTAGGGTTATAGTAGTTAGGGGTTCTCATCTTTGGAAACTGGAAAAAAAAACATTAATTACTTTATCTCTGCATGGGTTAAGCAAAAATTATAATTTTGCCTGTGAAGGAAAAGAAATTCTGTCCTTCTATTTTTCTTATTTTGAGTTAATGTCTCAAGCTGAAGTGCAGTGGCACAATCATGGCTCACCACACAGCCTTGACCTCCTCGGCTCAGGCAGTCCTGCTTCTGCCTCCCAAGTAGCTGGGACTGCAGGCATGCGCCACCACGTTCTGCAAATTTCTTTGTTTTTTGTGGAGGCAAGGTCTCCTGTGGTCCCCAGGCTAGTCTTGAACTTCTGAGCTCAAGCAGTCCTCCAACCTCAGCCCACCAAAGTGGTGGAATTGTATGCATGAAGCACCATACCCGGTCACAAAATTCTACTCTTAATTGGGAAAATAGCAGGAAACTTTCCCCAGAGGTTCTGATTGGTGTTACTTCCCAGCATATAGAGTTGCTTTTGCATTTGGGATAGATGGTCTCTAACTTCTGCAGAGCTTAAAGCTAGGGAACCAGACTGTTGAAGCTCTTAGCTTAGGAAACCCTTGACAAGATTTGCTTTTAGAAGCCATTACAAGGATGCCCCACAGGCTGGGAAGAAGCCATTACAAATGGCTAAACGGTGTCCCTCATCAGCTGTGTTTCCTTTTTTAAAAAAAAAAAACCAATCTCCATCATGTTTATAACTATATTCTTCTATCATTTTCCAAAAGATTCTTAATTAAGCCAGTGTGGCTTTTCTGTTAAAAATAAAAACTAATCTCTACCATGTTTATAACTATATCCTTCTGTCATTTTCCACAAGATTCTTAACTGTGGTTTTTCAGTTTAAGACTCAAAATTAGACCTTGGATTACTGTGAAATAGTATCTCGGCTGCTGTAAGTTTTTTTTTTTTAGATACTTGGTCATTCTCAGATTCTCGCCATGGAACACTTTCTGGTTTCCTCACAATATACTTATTACAGGAGAATCCATCCTGTGAATTCTTCCAGTTCACAGCTTGCTGATACTTACGAGAAATTTCCCCAGAAGCCATGGCTTCTGTGAGCTTTATGTTGCTAAGTGAGCAGGGTTCTCACTCTAACATAAACTGTGAACTTGTAGGAAACATTCAGTCCTGAGTTTCAAAAAGCAAGAGAAATTCCAGAATTGAGATTTTCTCAGACACCTAAAGTTTTTGGACATGATGTCTGCTTAGTAATCATGACCTGAAATGTTAGAAATCCTTGCTCTTCTTCATGATTCTGAAAGAAACCTTAGTCACCTTGTCTTTGTTTACCTAATACCAACACATACTTTTCTTTCCCAAAACCCAGTTTTACATCCTCACTCATACATTTTTTTTTTTTTGAGTTGTGTTACCCAGGCTGGAGTACAGTGGCACACTCAGCCACCCCAGCATCAACTGCTGGGCTCCAGCGATCCTTCCACGTCAGCCTTCCAAGTAGCCGGAACTACAGGCACACACCACCATGCCCGGCTAATTTTTTATTGTAGAGATGAGGTCTCGCCAAGTTCCCCAGGCTGGTCTTGAACCCACGGGCTCAGGCAATTCACTCGCCTCGGCCTCCCAAAGTGCTGGGATTACAGGCTGCGCCACCGAGCCCAGCCCACTCATACAGTCTACTGCTTAATAACTTTTGCTCTTATGAAATTTTTTTCATCGATTCAAAATAGAGATTGACTCCTGGTTGGAGTATACTACTCAGCCTGGTATCCTAACATCTCCAGCTATGGTCCTGCACAGTGATCCTTGGGAACGGTGTCACAACCAACTGTGTGACTTGGGGCACCCACTTAATTTCCCTGAGCCTTGATTTCTTCATCTGTAAAATAATGGGCTTCAGTTTTGCAATCTTTTTTTTTCCAGAATAACCACCTAGAATCAATGTAAGAGTTTTATGTATCAAAGATTTAACTATGTTCACTACACTGCAGTTACTAATGCAGTTTAGAATCTTAAGAAAGACTAATTTTTTTTAAAAATGAGCAATAGCATCCAGTTTCACAAGTGTTCTATCTTGTTTAAACTACAATTAATTGTAGTTTCTTCCTGCTATATGTTTTGAATCATGTTATCTCAAATTTCTCACCGATACATTCTCAAACACATATGGGATCCCCACTTTTCAGAAGCAAATAAATTTAATTAATCTTCTCCAAATTTAACATGTAAAGAAGTGACTGAGTTATACTAAAGCCAGGCTTGCTACCTTACTTCATCTTTCCTCCACTTGTCAGTGTTTTTTTTATAAACATTGCTCAGACAGCAAACCCTCTAGTAGCAAGGTACAAGGGAATCATATGCCATAAGATTAATGGGCATTGGTTCACAAACATTTTTTTTCCATTAGCAGATTTTAAAATCAGGTTTTTGAGCCGGGCATGGCGGCTCATACCACAGCACT